GAGGCCGGCTAGCGTCCTCCTAAAACCCCGTGTGAAAACGTCCTAAGTTGCATAATACCATTAATGTGTAACTCCACATGTGCACATTTAAACTGCATTACCACTATTAAAGATCTTGGCCACTGAATTCCTTTTGAAAAGGATACATCCCAAACTCCCAGGGAAATATCAAAGTCTGTATCAACTAATACAGCTCTGTGCCAATACCAGTCTGATTTGAATACTTGCATAACAAGCTTCTTGGGGAGTTAAAATGAGGTTCTGTTGTCATATAACCTGTCTGGAAACTTTAACTCCTGCAGATGAAGAAAGCATTTAAAAAAGGAAGAAGCAGCCCTATTTATTGCTTGCTATTAAGTACATTAATTTTAACACCAGACATTCTGGCACTTTCTTACTGCTGTGTTGGAGGAGACAGCTTTGTTTATTCACACTTGTCTGTCCTAAACTCCATATCTCAGCAGTAACTTGTATTCCCCTCCCTTAACAGTTCCCATGGGAGACAGAAGCCTCACAAATTTGATGTGCCAAATTATCATACAAAACCTAAATTTATTTGAAACAAGTTGTGGCAACATAGGCAATTAAGGCACAAACTTTCAGGAGCCTCTCCTGTATTAAACTTCAGTGAAATATTTTATTATATTTTAATATATTTTAATATGTATCTCTCTACCACAGAGAAGGGAATGGGGGGGGGGGGGGTTAAGGTTCCCAGATCTCAAAGCCTGGACCATTTTCTATAATCCTTAGCATGAGTCGGAGGAATCTAAGGGCAACACTGGCTTGAAAAGTGCTGTATTTATATTTTCCTCATTTGTTAGACTTGTTTTTTTCAATTTACATGGCATACCTTGTTGACACTTAATGAATCATATTTTATGACATCATCAAAGGCTTGCCCCTCTTGGCATCACCCTTATAATATCAATGGGACTTTGTCCCTGTGTTAGTATATCCCCCATATATTTTTTAATATTTTCTTGTCTAGAGACAGGCATGTTTTAAGAGGGCACAGTGACCTGTGGAACACTGTAAAGTTTCCCATGGGAAAGGCATGTTGACCTGAAGATATGTGAAGGATCCAGGTTATACCAAAATAAAGGCTAAATGGGTTTGGTGATCACTTCTCCCTGCAGGCTGTCTGCATACCCTCTTCCACTGGAGACAAAGGCAGTCCTATTAAACTAAGGGTAGTAGGACTGTATCTCTTACCTACCCCTTGTTGTGTTCCCAACCAGTTTCTCTATTCATCTATCTTGGGGTTATTCTACATCTATTCAATGTTTTGTTAATCCAAAGTTAAAACCATCTACTGAACTTGCCCTTTTTGTCAGTTCTGTGAGATAGCACTCAAATTCTTTGTACTTCATGTAGGAACATTAAGTACCCCTTGAGGGCACCAAACAGGATGTAAATATCCATCTCACACATGTCTAGTTTGTGATTGTGGTGAGCAACCAACAGAGCTCTGTTCAGCTGACCAGAGCTTCCTCTTCCCTTTGCCCTTAGACACTGTCTGAGCCCTGCTTTCTGTGGATTCCTCTACAGGACCAGTAGATATCACTCTCCCTACAACCCTAAGCCTGGGCAAAGCTGGGAAGGGGCTGGGGGGAACGATGGGGCAAGAGGGAAAGCCTGGGCAAAGCTGGGAAGGGG